AAAACAGAGTGAATTCCTCAGGGAGGTGCCAGCCTCATCCGCTTATCTCTTCCTCGCCCCTCAGGAGACGAAAGAGGATGTTTCCCTCCCTGAATGTGGCCTTCATAATTCCATTCCATCACAGTATGATGGAAACTAAAGGTTCCAGTCTTCAATCCTGATTGCCCCTTGCTATTTAGAAATACTACAAAATATTTATTATAAATTACCTTGTTATAATTATCGCTAAGGAGCACAAGGAAGTGCATATAGCAACATGCTTTTTAAAAATGTAGCTGAATCAAAGCCCTGGTCAACAGGATTTGTGGTCTCCAGTTGGTTAATGAATCAGGAGTGAAAATGAACCAGACAACAGTTACAGAAACAACAGGGATGTTGCAATGAGTCTTGAGACAGGTGAGGCAGCGCAGAGCATATTAAGCAGTATGACAGAATGAACAGCAGTAGGAATGGAAGAAAGCTTTTAACTGAAAAAAATTAAAAAGAACAGAGGGCAAATAAATAGTATAAAAGAAAGATTCATCTTAATTTTTTATCCTGTATTTAAAACCGTCCCAAAGCACTATCCCAGGAAAGATTAAATACAGGATAAAAACTAGTCAAAAATTATACAGGTAGTCCTCACTTAACGACCATTCAGCAACCAAAGTTACGATGGTGCTGAATGAATGGTAGTTATGGCTGGTCCTCGAAGTTACGGGCATTGCAGTGCCCCAGTGGTCACGTGATTAAAAATTGGGCGCTTGGCAGCCTGCCCATGTTTATGACCACAGCATGCACTTCAACTCCCCCCACCTGCCTATCTCCTCCCATCTCTGCCCTTTTGGCAACCCTGCACTCCACCACCTACCCCTGCCACCCTAGCTGACCTTTGCCATTTCTTTCCCCCTGCTGCTGATGAGGTGCACCCGGTCCTTCATGAGACCCTCACGCAGCCTCCCTGAAGCCTTGCAAGGGGCCAGCAGCTGCCTTGGCCAGGTGCACCTTAGCAGCAGCAGGAGAAAAAAGATGGTGAAGGTCAGCTGGGGCAGCAGGAGCAAGCAGACGAGTGCAGGATGGACAAAAGGGCAGAGATGGGGGAAGAAAGGCAGGTGGGGGGAGTTGAAGCAGAGGCAAGCGTGGCAGGCAGGAGAAGCACGAGGTCCTAGCCTAATGACCGCAGTTGGGACTACCAGGACTGCCATCACTAAGTGGTGTGGTCACATGATGTTTTGCCTAACAACCACTTCACTTAGCGACAGAAATTCCAGTCCCAATTAGGGTTGTTAAGTAAGGACTACCTGTAAGCAAATCAGAAGAGGGCAATTGTTTTAACTATTACTAGCCATTAAAAAGAATAGAAAGCAGCATCTAGGCCACCCCATTCCCATTTGTTTGTTATCTGAAAAAGCTGAGGAGAAAAGGCTGGTTTTCACTACACGTGGGAATTAAGAATGGAAGGGAGTCAATTATGCCTTCAGGGTGGGAGGAGTATTTCATCATCTAGATATCCTCCCTGATAAAGCCCTGATTTGGGTGCTCCTAACAGAGCCAATTCCTCAGATCACAACAGGCTAAAAATGTAATATAAGCAGTTCTTCAGTACCCTGGACCCCAGGTCTCCAAAGCTCTAATGGCAACAACCAGCACCCCTTAGGAAACAGGACACTTGCTTCTCTGTGTCCAATAGTATAAAATAAGATCATGTTCTCTAGTTCAATGTTGTTTCTCTGGTTCTCTAGATTCTGCGCTAGTTCAACCTTATGGAAGGATAACATCAAGACACCAAATGCCAGTGTTTGTCCTTTCTTGTGTTTATCCTACAGAAATATCTCGATTGTGTTGTTTTTTAACTTGAACAGCTTTCACATCACAAATGGCAGTGGTCACCAAGATGTTTGTCTCAAGGCCGTAACACGGTGGTTAGTGTCATTGCTAAGCTAGCTTCGGTGATACCTTGCTTAAAATCTGGATTCTCTTCTTACAGTAACCTGAGTGGGCTTAGTCTTTTACAAGGGGTACAAAACTAAAATGCAGAAGGAAAATTCACACTTAAAGGGCCTTTCCCTTCATGACTGAGATGTGACTGAAAGCATGCAGTTTAAAAATCATATTTTTGCTTTGCCTCTGGCTGCTGCAAACGCTCCCAATCACATCACTGCATTTTTTTATTTTTTTTTATTTTATTATCAAACTTGTATGGACCCCACCCCCCCCAACGGGTGACTCTGGGCGGCTCACAATAATAAAAAAGAAAAAACACAGGTCCCTCC